GTAGGTGATTGGGGATAGTGGTTAGGGTTGGTGATTGGGGATAGTGGTTAGGGTAGGTGATTAGGGATAGTGGTTAGGGTAGGTGATTGGGGATAGTGGTTAGGGTTGGTGATTGGGGGTAGTGGTTAGGGTTGCGGATTAAGGTTGGTGATTAGGGATAGTGGTTAGGGTTAGTGGTTACCCCCATCCTAACACATTATTCTCTACCAGAGAAGATGCTTTGGACTTCTAACTGAAGCTTCCAGTAGCGTTGATGTCCTGGTGATCCCATCTCCACTACTTTAGGCCTAACTGTGCAGCCAAGAAGGGAAGAAGTAGAGAAACCTTTCAACCAGCTGACCGTCAGTGGGCAGGACCAGGTCTGGGAGATGCTTTCCTGTGTTCCTCTGTGCCCCATAGATCCTGATAACTTTCCAGATAGAAGTTAGGGATGGAAATAGTTCAAACACTTCAGTTTACCTTGATTTCTGTAGCTTAGCCTGGAAGAAAACATCCAATTATTGAGTAAAAGACGATCTTTTCTCCATCCTCAGACTCTACAACAATAACATCACTGATGCTGGAGCCAAACTGGTCGCTCAGATGATTGAGGAATGCCCTCAGCTAGCAATTGTCAAGTATGTTACACCTGAAAGGTCCAGAGAAAGAAATGAGCAAAATAGGACTTGTTGTCTGGTGTGTAATGCTGTTATGAACGTCTTTAGGATTGGTAAAAACAAGATCACAAGTGTCGGTGGAAGGTATTTGGCCAACGCCATTAAGAAGAGTACTTCCATATTTGATGTTGGGTAAGTATACGAGGCGTCTCTATGACACTATCTAGGTTAGATGCCCCTCTCATAGCACTGGTCTTGTCTTCCAGAATGTGGGGCAACAGCATTGGTGATGAGGGAGCAGAAGCATTTGCTGAAGCCTTGAGGAACCACAGAAGTCTCACCAACCTCAGGTAGCAGAACAGGGTGAAACCAGACTAATGACTCAGAAACTGATTCCAACACTGATTCATTCTGTTGCTTTCCTCTCTGCTGCAGTCTGTCTGCCAATGGCATCACTTCAGAAGGGGGCAAACATCTGGCAGAAGCACTGAAGGAGAACAGCGTCCTGAGGATCTTCTGGTATAAAAATTCTTCAGCTTGAGTTTAAAATCAGAGTTAGAAAATACTGAACTTTTCCTGCTCAGTTTGGTTTTGTCCATTGATTTCTGTAGCTTTGCCTGGAAGATTAGATTAGATTAGATTAGATTAGATTAGATTAGATTCAACTTTATTGTCATTGCACAGGTACAGGTACAAGGCAACGAAATGCAGTTTAGGTCTAACCAGAAGTGCAATAGCAGCAAGTGCAGGATAAATAATGGTTCCATAAATGCAGGACATGGTTCTACTGAATGAGTATAGAGATGAATACTATTATAAATAGTGAATATAATATATAGATCACTAGTGTGAACTAAATTTACAGCTGGATATGTACCGAATATAATATAAAGGTGGATATTACTATTAAAAAAAAACGTTTTTACAGTTATGAGCTTAGAGATGTAGTCATGATCCAGATTCCCTGACCATAGATGAGGGTACTGACCAGTAAATAGAGAGCTCAGCTCTTTCTTCACTATTACAATCCAGTCATCAATGTCCTGATCCACCCTTTTCTGGTTACCCTCGACTTGGACTTGGAGGAGCCAATCTTCAGCCCTCCACCTTACACTCAGCCTCAAACTGCACCAGAGAACCAAGTTCATAGCTTTGGAGTCCCCATTACCAACTTCTAATCTCAGTCCATTAGAAGATCTGTGCTCAGAGCTGAAAGGATAGCCCGCTTCTGTTCGGAGGAATGGGCCAAAGTTTTAGTAAACTGCTGCTGTGAGAAACAGGAGGAGGAAAACTAAATGTTTGACCCCATTCAGGACGTGCAGTGGGCAGTCCCACCAGAAACTGAGGCAATACTGTAAACAAAGGAAGATCTCTCTTGTTGCTGTAGGTTAATCCTAACTGAGCTAAACAAGGAAAGACTGATTGGAAGGCAAGCGCTGAGGGACAAACAGCTGAAACTCACACAGACCTCTGGGTGGTAGCACCAGTCTCAGAACTAGTGGACATGTTGGACTAGACCATCTAGACAAAGATCTGACCTGGGTTCTAAGGTCTATGTAATCTACTGGTTGTTCCTCAGGTTGGTGCAGAATGAGATGATGGATGATGCAGCTCCCCACTGGGCCCAGTTGGTTCAAGCAGACACTGGGCTGACCCACCTTTGGTGAGGAGAGCAGTCAGTCATTCATGCTCACAGCCTCCAGGTCAGTACCTGAGCTGCTGCTGCTCAGAACGTCACCAACTTCCTTTATTTGTCTGCAGGTTAATCAACAACCGCTTCACAGCTGCTGGGATCCAACACTTCGCTGATGCTTTAGCTTCCAACACCAAGCTGAAGGAGATCTGGTGAGAATCAGACACACGGCCTGATGCCCCCCCCACTAAAATCCATCCAATCATCTGCGATGGAGCTTAGAGACATGATTGGATGAGGAACTCCTTTACAGAGTAACAGAAAATGCTGCAAAACTTAAGGAGAAATCAACTTTCAGTCTTTTCTATATTTCCTTAGCTGTCCAGTAATTCTTACGTTGTTTTAGTGAATGTTCACTATCACAGAGAACAAACTGCTGAACAGAAGCAAATAAACCAAAGTGAACTCGTTGTAAGTAGTGGGAGGGCGGGGCTTAATGAACCAGACCCCATGCAGGGGTTAAAGGGGACGCCCCGCCCCCTGGCTAACGCTGACTAGCTCCACCAATAACAGCTCATCCAGAACTGGTCGTAATTCAAGTAATTTCTGCATTTTACGCCTAAATCTTGACGTCAGAGTAGAAAAACTACGAGCCGGTGGAACTGAACCACCTCTGACCGACGGCTTTTCCCACATCCTGGTCTGAAATCTTCTCTCAGCTTTGCTTGGTTTTCCTCTGCAGCTTTTTAATCCTACAGTCTTTCAAACAGTTCGAGTGTTTGTCGCCCTGTTGGCCAGGAGACTCGGACTTGTTCGGTGGAAACATCCCCATGCGCCATCTCAGGGCAGATTACCGACCGTTAGACTTGAAGAGCTTCGATTTTATCATCAAACTATTTGAAGAAATGAGGGCTGCCCCCTGCTGGTCCTTACTGCCCCCTGCTGGGCAGGGTGTCTTCCAGCATATTTAATTCTGATTAATGTGAAGCTGCATAACAATATATTTATTCCAAAGAAATAAAAAAAAAATAGTGGAGTGGACTTGGTTTCCAAGTCTGAAGACGTTTGGCTTCCTGGATGGTAATTGGTTTGTTTCTGAACTTTCTTTGGAATGACAGAGAATCTTCAGCAGCAACAGTATATTTATTTAATGTTTATTGTCTAACTGGAGCCATGGAGAGTACATGTGAAATTCTATAGTTTCATCATTTTTTAATCTTCTTGCTGCAAACATTTCCTAACAGAATGAGGTCTGAGGGCGGCCATGTTGACTCGCTGCATTTAACACGCATAGAAATTTTCAGCCTCAAGAAAAGATTTGCAGTGCAAAGATTTTGCTTTCTAATCCATTTGGATCTTTTTTAACTGAAAATATATTATATTAGAAATAATAAAACAATACAGTTTTTATGTTATGTTCAATTTCTAAGGTAAAAAATAAAGTGGTGGCAAAGAGAGGCAATAAAGAAGGCGATGATTCCTGACGTCTCAGTATATCAGATAGAGATGATCACATAGATAATCAAAGTTCATCTTCTGACCAACCAACCAATCAGGAAGCTTCTCCTCTCTGATGGTTTATGGTTTGTTTCTGTGTTTCTACAGCTTTAAAGGAAACCTGCTCACTGAAGAGGAACAGAAACTGTTTGAATCAGAGAAACGGCTTCTTTTCCACTGATGGAACTGCTCTTTTCCTCCTGGATGGAACCATGAACTGCTACTGTGCCACATCCTGAACCAGAGCCTGTTAAAGGCCTCAATTCAATTCAGTTTATTTATATAGCGCCAATCCACAACACAAGTCATGTCAAGACACTTTACAGTTCA